GGTTACAGTGAGCTATGATTGGGCCACTGCACTACACTCCAGCTGGGACAACAAACAAGAACTCTGTCTCATAAATAAATAAATAAATGCTTTGCTAAATTAAACTCTTATAAAATGAAATAATATATAATCTCAGTGTGTCATATTTAGTGAAATAAAATAATAAGAACTCTCGATGTGTCATGACATTCTCTTCCAACAAAGATACATCTCACCTGAGGTGACTTCAACATCAGCACTATTTTTTTATTACTTTTCAGACTCTGGCTTTCAATTCAGGAGTGGTGTATTTTCTTATTTATAAAGCTTCATCAAAGCTAAAATGACAGTGAAAATTAATAAAGATATTTTTAAAGAAATTTTAAAACCTACACCATTATTAATTCTTACAGCTACCCTTTGACAAAGTTCAAATTGCGTTATTATTACATATTTTAAAATACAATTTGAAAACATCTCCCTAATAAAAATTTAAAAAAGTAAATCTTCTCTAGAAGAACATATCATTGTTTGGAGTCTCTGTAACCATTGTATGTATTCTCTACCATTCAAGCAAAAATTACTAGTCAAGCCAAGAGGTAGGATTATAAGACAAACGTGCAGAGAAATAATGTCAAAGAACGAAAACTACAGGTGATTAGAGATATTGGAGTTAGCAAAACACAGACTTTAAAATAATGGATTAATGTGTCTAAGAAAATAGGGGAAAATAGGGAGGCGCCTGTGGCTCAGTAAGCAGGGCGCCAGCCCCATATACCGAGGGTGGTGGGTTCAAACCCAGCCCCAGCCAAACTGCAACAAAAAATAACTGGGCATTGTGGCAGACGCCTGTAGTCCCAGTTACTCAGGAGGCTGAGGCAAGAGATTTGCCTAAGCCCAAGAGCCTGAGGTTGCTGTGAGTCTGAGGTTGCTGTGAGCAGTGATGCCACAGTGATGCTACCGAGGGCGACGTACTAAGACTCTATCTCAAAAATAATAATAATAATTTGTAAAACTTAGCTTCCTAGGTCCTCGAAACTAATACTTGCTGTTTGCTTCCACTTCTGTAAACCCTGCACATGATCTGACACCTCTAATGAGAGGTAATATGGTAATTCCTTTGTCTACTTTTCTCTCCAATAAAAGGACAGAGACAGAGCTGATCCAGGAGCTCAGCCATTTTGGACTCTAGTCTGCCGTGGTTCCACCAGCTAAAATAAAACCCTTTCCTCATCTATCTCTGGTGTGCAGGTAACTCTTTTTATCCACTGGGCCTAGATTACTGCAGCTGCCAAATGAAATGCCTAGAGATTTTCAAAAAATAATATCTGAAATAAAAATTTCAGCATATTAATGTGATTACAGCAGATTAGACAGCATGAAGAAAAGATCAGGAAACTTAAAGGCACAACAATAGAATCTAGTCAAATAAATCACACAGAGAGAGATGCTATGCAGAGTCTCAATGGTCCTGTGAAATAATATCAGTGGATATAAGGAGAACTACTTTATGTTAGAAAAAATAATTCAATGAAATATTTCTAATTAAGTGTAACACTAGGAAGTGCTTTTAGGGTACTGGTAACGTTTTTTTTCAGCCCTGGGTTGTTGCTACATTATTGTCTTCTGAGTGATGAGCCATTGAGCAGCACATTACATTTTATGCATGTGCATTTGTGGGATGTGCATGTGGGGTGTGTGTGTGTCTGTGTATGTTATGTCAAATTTAAAAGTTTAAGATAGGGCGGCACCTGTGGCTCAAAAGAGTAGGGCACTAATTCCATATGCCGGAGGTGGCAGGTTCAAACCCAGCCCCTGGCAAAAACTGCCAAAAAAAAAAAGTTTAAGATAAAAAATCTTGGCTTGGCGCCTGTGGCTCAAGCGGCTAAGGCGCCAGCCACATATACCTAAGGTGGCGGGTTCAAATCCAGCCCGGGCCCGCCAAACGACAATCACGGCTGCAACCAAAAAATAGCCGGGCATTGTGGCAGGTGCCTGTGGTCCCAACTACTTGAGAGGCTGAGGCAGGAGACTCGTTTGAGCCCAGGAGTTGGAGGTTGCTGTGAGCTGTGATGCAACAGCACTCTACCCAGGAGGACAGCTTGAGGCTCTATCTCAAAAAAAAAAAAGATAAAAAATGTTTTGCTTCCAACCACCTAAATACCTGGATTCATCCTTTGCTCTTTCTCCACACCTAGTTTTTTTAAATATATATATAGTTGTCATTGTTTTTTGGCAGGCCCAAGCCAGGTTCGAACCTGCCAGCCCCAGTCTATGTGGCCAGCGCCCTAGCCAACTAAGCTATAGGTGCCGAGCCCACACCTAGACTTGATGATGTCTAACAGGTCACGAAGTCCTGTCAATTCTGTTTTTGTAATATTCCTCATTTCTTTTCTCTCCATTTTCACAGACACCCTGTGCCCCTAAAGTCACTATCTCAATAACTCTTGACTGAGACTGGAAAGAAGGCAGTCAGAAGAGGCAGAGGGTTCTGACTCTCTTCACAGAGTAGTTCGAGTTTGAGAAGGCTTCCTGGAGGTCAGGCCTGCTCTGGACCTTAAAAAGTTGATCTCAGCACTGTTCCAGGCATCACTTCTCAGCACACGATTCCCTTTGTCTCAGCTGCAATGCCACAGTTGCTGTTCCCCTGTGTACACTGTACAGAAACAACCTACAGTACAATGTAAGTTGCACTTACCAATATTCCACTTCTGGGCCTTTGCATTCTCTGGGTTTCCTGCCCAACTCTCTGCATGTTTAAACCAAATTCACCTCTTAAGGGCTGGGATAAGTCTGGACTGAAACATATACCACAGAGTGGGACCCAGGAAGCTGGGCTCACTCAGGCCTGCACCCCATCTCTCTGTCCATGACAAAAGGCAAAAAGGTGGAAGCCCAGCATTTCTAACATGTGGTAACAGAAATATACTCCCTCACTCAGCCTTGGCTGGAAATTGTAACCAAAAACAGAAGCTCCCAGTCTCAGTAGACAGATGAATGAGGAAACTTGGAAGGAATGTGAAGGTTCAACACGAAGGCTTCGAGAGACCTATGCACTACGCTAGTAATGCATTTTGTTGGACAAAGATAAAATCTAGAGAATATTTGCCAGACTTTCACCTTGAAGACACTAGGAATATAAACAATAACCAGATTGGCATAAGGGAGCCTTTTGCTAGGTGTACGCTTATTCCATTGCTTGTTATCTTGAATTGTGTACTGGAGGTCTGTTTGTTAGAATTTCTCTTAAGCCATCCTGACAAATGTTTACTGCTATCTTCTATTTTTCTACCACCCATAATCAGGCTATGCGTGCACTGATTCTCAATAATCTACTGCAATTTCCATTTACTGACTACATATTTGTTCTAAGAAAATATATTTTTTACTTGAGTAAAAATATATTACTTTATATTTTTTATTTGAGTAAAATAAATTTACTCAGCTAAAAGTAACACAGCTCACTATGACTTCATTTTGAATTCTGTAACTTTGCTGGAACTGAAGGGATATGACTTCATGTGTTAGAGAATAGGAAGACAGAATGTCTCTTTGAGGCCCTAGAAGAGTCATTTACAGAAAACAACAGAATTTGAGGTTTCCACTGACAGGGACCAAGGAGGAAAGCTATCAGAGTGAAACTACCACACAAGGAACCGAGAACGAGGGTTTCCCAGATCCCAAGGGAAAGAAGGCGTGGCCCTACGAGAAGGGGGCAGGTCTCCTGCAAGAAGGGTGTGGCCTCCAAGGAGAAGGCGGTGCCCGGTGAGAGGTTCCCTGACTCTATTCTACCCTTACTTAAAACCTTGCAATGGCTGTTTCCTTAAGGTCAAATTTACTTTTTTTTTTTTTTTTTTGAGACAAAGTCACACTATGTCACCCTCAGTAGAGTGCAGTGACATCACAGCTCACAGCAACCTCAAACTCTCCGGCTTAAGCAATTCTCTTGCCTCAGTCTCCCAGTAGCTGCGACTACAGGTGCCCACCACGATGCCCAGGTATTTTGTTGTTGTTGTTGTTGTTGTTGTTGTTTTGTCATTGTTGTTTAGCAGGCTGGTCGGTGGGTTCCAACCCACCAGCCCCCATGCACTTGGCTGACGCCCTACCCACTGAGCTACAGGTGCCAAGCCCTTAAGGTCAAATTTAATTTTCTGGCATAGTGAAATGGTCTTCCTACCCCTTCTCGTGATTCCTCTCCTAGTCTCCCAGTCTGCACTCGTTTTTTTTCTGGTGTGAGGACTGTGCCATGCTCTCTTATCACTTTGTGGATTCTCTTAGATTCCAGCATTAGGCTCTACCCTCACCTCTCAATTTTTTATTTCCAATTATTCCTTCAAGAATCATACCAAGCATCACCTATATGTCTTCTGCAGAATGAGGTAGAATCAGGGACAAGAGGCTCGGCGCCTGTGGCTCAAG